AATTCCATTTTGGGAAAAAAAATATGCCCTTTGTGGAAAAATTTCATAAATTATAGGAGCAACTGAGACAGATAACTCTGTCCCTGGAGCTGACCGTCAATGAGTGTGAATGCTCATTAAAGAACTATTTTGCCCTCCCCAGAGAAGACAAGGATTCAGAAAAGACCCTCTTTGAATTAATACATAATGACCAATGCTTGAAAGCTAAAATAAACCATGTCTCTGAAACGCTGTCATCATATACATGATCCACAAATATTAACAAATAGAAGGAAATGAAGGCATAGCTTAGGTGGGGGAAAGGTTTATACTCTTCATTTAACAGAACTTCAGTGAAAACTGAAATAAAATTATAATACCTAACAACAGAGAATGGGAAATTACTTTGCTCTCGTCTCTCCCACACTGTCCATCTCCCTTCGATAAAAGATTATCCATAATCTCAACACTGCCACTTCCTGAGAACGATTCAATACTGAAAGTGCAAAGAAGGCACAATATCCCCGGTCCTCTCTGTCCGAGGACCTGCAGGCCGACTACCCATGCTTTCCAGAATATGCTTCGATTTTTCTTTTGTGAGCTGCAGCATAGAATGTTTACTAAAGGTTTTTTAAAAAACAGAATCTCACCAAACAGTTGAGAAAAATATTTAACAACGCAGGCAAAGCAATTACAGTTGAATTTTCACCTCGACATTCTCATCGTAGGTGTGGGAGGGAGAGGGAAGACTCAGCACATCAGTTTGAACCTAGAGGGAGGATGGAAAGAGTTGATCCTGCTGAGAGCTGTCAATATGTCCATCTCTTTGACCCTCAGCTGCTGAGCTAGCTGCCCACCTGAGGGTACCACAAGAACAGCACCACTGTCTGCCTATTTCTGTGCCACTGCTGTTTTGCCTGGAAAGTGCCTCTCTCATTTTCTCTTTCTCTCTGCCTCTCCCTCCTCGCCTTCCTTCTCTTTGGCTTTACCTTCCCAAGTTTCTCCTAACCTGGAGAAATAAAAATCTAAACTATAGCTGAAAGAAATGAATATAGTTTATTACATGAAGTTTTTAGATTCTCTATTCTTAATTTCTGAAGTGGCACTGCTGTTTTGCCTGGAAAGTGCCTCTCTCATTTTCTCTTTCTCTCTGCCTCTCCCTCCTCGCCTTCCTTCTCTTTGGCTTTACCTTCCCAAGTTTCTCCTAACCTGGAGAAATAAAAATCTAAACTATAGCTGAAAGAAATGAATATAGTTTATTACATGAAGTTTTTAGATTCTCTATTCTTAATTTCTGAAGTGGGTAAAAGCGGTCAGTTCTTACTTCTGGAAAAACAGAAGACCCTGGGGTTAATTTTAAATTGATCTTTACTTAACTGCGGGCCTTGATCGATTTCCTCTCTGTGGGTCTGAGGAGTCTGACAGGAATCTCATGGCCCGTCTCTCCGTGTACATGGGAGTGTGGGCCCGGCGGTCAGGTGGTGGCCTGTCAGACTGAATCTCATTACAGATGTGCTTCTGAATCTCCAAAATATGTATTAAACGAATGGAGAAAAACAAACCTGGTTTCGCAAAACACGTCAAAAGGAAGACTGCTGTTTATACCCATCGGGAGAGCTACGTGGTACGGGGACGGGAGCTTGCGTTCCTGACCCACTGCTTTAGTACTTTCATTGCACAAAACGACTCTTGAGAGTAAGGACAGAGAAGCACAGGTCGCCAGTGAGGCACTTACCCTGAGGGTGATGGAGCGAGGGGGCTTCTGGGGTGGGTCGTCGTGCAGCCTGTCTCCCAGAGACGCCAAAATGCGTTTCCTGTGGCCAATCAAACTGATTTTTAAAACCTGAAACAACATGTATTTGGGTTATTTTATTCGAGGAATAAAAATGTCATATGTCCTAAAACATAAGTGCAGATTAGCTCCGCCCAGAAGAGATGGGGCAGCCTGGAAGTCTGTGGGAGGCAGAGGAAACGGGGTTCTTACTGAACCCAAGGTCTTCGTGATGAGCTATGTTCCCAAGCCTTTAAAATATTCTTTCTTTTTCTTTTCTTTTTTTTTTTGGTACCAGGGATTGAACTCAGGTCCTTGTGCTTCAGAGGCAGGCGGTGGAACCACTGAGCTAAATCCCTGGCCCCTTAAAAAATAATTTCAAGACAGTTTCACTAAGTTGCCTGGGATGGCCTCAAATCCTATCTCAGCCTCCCAGCAAATTCCACCACACCCAGGCTTTCCCATTCTCTTAAGAGTAAAATCTGTGCCCCCACCAGGCCTCAGAGTCAACAGGCCCGGTTGTCCTCTGACTGAGACTGGCACCTGTTTGACACTGCTTTGATCCCAAAGCACTGCTTAACAACAGCGGGGTGCCGGGGCTAAGGAGTATGGAAGACTGATGATAATGAGGAAGGGGGCATTCTAAGAGCCAGTGTGAAGTCACCTGAAGATCTGAATTGGCTTTGCCAGATTCCAAAGCTAGTTTTGCTCACAGGTATGCAGCGTGAAGTTCTAGGCATATCCTCAGGATTAGACTTCTTAAAACTGTTATGAGTCCCTCTACAAACTTTATCTCCTTCTTTCCCTGCTCATATAACCTAGGATATATCAAATCTTATTGTGAAACTGGTTTCCACAGTAGTTACCCATGTGATTTCCTCTTCTCTTTTCAAGGTTTACGGCTGAGGAGAAGGCATCGCTTAGGCACAGGTCTTGTGATCTCTGGAAGTTTTACTGATTGCTGTGAGCCTACCGGACTTTCTGCCTACACGGAGTGAAGATTTTAAACAGCACGATGACATATTCCCTTCACGTCACCTTCTTCCGTATGCCCATGGGAGGTGTGGTAAATGTTAACCAAGGCAAATGCCTACATACACCACGCCCCTGAAATTTTGTAAACCTTCATCTTCTCAAGCTGATGCCTCCTAATCTTTGCACATTTGCTTTCACACAGAAGCACATCTTTCCCACAGACCATTTCCGCATGACTCCCTCTGGATGTTCTCCTACCTTACTATAGTCATAGTAAGGTTTGTTGAAGGTTTGTTGGGGAAAAAACCCCCAGCTTACAATAGCTGGTTGAAGTAAACCATGGTTTTATGTTGGACGATATCATTTTCTGCTTTTAATGCTTCTTTTAAAACGTTCTAAGTGCACCTGATGTCTGGCTGGTCTTTTAGCTGCAGCACAGGAACAACTGGCAACAGAGGTATACACGACTGTAAAATCTCTTCACTTTGCCATCACTGATGATGAGCCCTTTACTCTTGAAAGAATGGTTTGAATTTCTCCCTAAATTCCCTATCTTACATCCACGCAGAAGCCCATCTGCCATCCTTCTGCCCACTCAAGTTGCCCTGCCTTGTCTTTCTGCATTTATATTAACCAGCATGGCATTTTGCTGCCTGGAAGAGCTTAGAGGTTTTATTTCACAAATCTGGAAATTTCAACATGTACTCCTCCTCTCCCAGGTGATTTATAAATATTCTACGTAAGAGTGGTCCCAGTGCTGATTACTTGCAGGCAGCATTATACAATCTAAAGAAATGCCCTTATATCCTTGTGTTGTTTCTTTTTTTCTAAGTATCAAGATCAAAGAATTCCCCTATCTCAGAAAAATACAACACTGACTTTTCAAAGGTATTTTGCAAGTTTAAACACTATGTTTTCTTTCACTCTCAGTCTCGATTACTTTATCAAAGGCTTCCCTTGGATATAAATTCCTCCCATAAAATCCCCACAGCCTTTCTCCCTGGAGGTAACAGGACCTGATGCTGATGATCGTTCCTTGAGCCTCTGAATCATTCTAAGATTTCTGTAGGTAATAAAGATAACCAAAATTATTTTGACAGCTGACACTAAACGACAAATAATTTTGGTAAAACTGAGCTTGTGTAACGGCCACATTGCTTTCGGTTTACTCTCCCATAGCCTGACTTTGGGCCAGTGATCTGGTTCCGCTGATCTATCTGTAACCCAAGGAGCCATTAAGGCCAATCTCCAGCGTTGCTGGGAAGATGAAGAGAAAAGTTGGGGCACACAGACGGTATAATCCCCTGCATAAGTGCTTGTTCCAGCTGAAGCACTCTGAAGGAGGCAGAGAAAGCTTGACCAAAAACAGTAAGAACTGATCATTTTCTTAAAGTTAATTGTGTCAAACAAATAAGCTGATGATCTGCATGAAGAGATTTGACTTTGGAAAATCTCTCACTGAAGTTAACTTCTCCTGATAGGGATGTGTTTGATTTCTAGCTATTAGTTTGATATTAGACCTACTTTAAAAGAATGTATACGCTGTTCTGCCATCCACACCATCTGATCGCTAAGAGGAGATGAAGTGAGGGGCTCCCTCTACCGGAGCCCCAGTGTCACCTCTTCCATAGAACCACCAGGAAGGGTGGGTGGATAAACAAACAACAAATGAACACAGAATGCTGCTTTATGTCAAGAATGTATGAGTAACTACTCATTTTTCAGAAATGACCACATATCATAGAAGATGGTAACTACTGAAAATTTGCCACGTTCTGGTTCCATTGTATGGGTTGTGCTGGAAACTGTGCCAAAAGCTAATGTATGTATAGAACTTGTTTAATCCTTAAAAATCATAATTTCCATTTTAGAGATGTGAAGCATGAGACTCAGAAGAACTGAGTAACTCCTGTTATTCACACTGCTAACTGGCACTGTGGCTGGCATTTGCTCCTGATTCTTAACTTGCTCTTTGCCATTCACCATGCCCGTCTTCCTATTATCTTTTATACCTTTTGATCCTAGCTACACTACTGGTTATTGCATTATCTTTCTTCTTATGATGGTGCTTCTTAAATTATTGTGTTTAAAACATTTATCTTGGTCTCAAACATCTGAAAACATTAAAATAATTCAGTTTTGGAGATGGTTTATAAGATTGCTAAAAATCCTGGCAACAAAGAACAGGCACGAGACAGAATTCCCTGTGAAAATACATATATAGCTCAAGACAGGAAACCTTCATCATCAGGAAGGTGGATCAAAAAGTTGGATCCAAGTTGGCTATTATCAGCATGGGAGAGAAGGTGATGTGTGGCTTAAAAACTCCAAAATCAACAATAAGAACTCCAACCGTCGAGACAGTAACAGAATATTCCAAAGAAAAATAGTCATTTTGGAAAAGTCAAGTCCAAAGGCAATCAGGCTTGCCTTGAACAGCTCAACCTCTGATCATCTCTAGTGGAATCCCACTGCCCCAGACACCATGGCCAAAGACCTATGAATTATTAATTTTCAAAAAACAACTATCTAAAGGTGTAGGGGAAGTGAGAAGGGTAGGGGAAAGGGAATAAGGGAAAAGAAAAAATCTGAGAAAACAAAAAAATGGAAACAAAGTCTTTGTAAATAGGTGGAGGGGGTGAAGGGAGGGGAGGGGTATGGGGAAAAAAATGAGAACCAAGACCTGTCATGTAAAGGTACAAGATCCGAATGACAAATATAACTGTACTGTATACCTAAAAAGTACCAATAAACTCAATGAGGAAACAAAACAAAACAAAAACAACTATCCCTCCCCCCAGACCAATGGTTACTGTGTCAGAGAAGAATTCTTTAAAGCTGTCATTTCTGCTTGGGTGAGAGTTAACTGTGCCCACAAGAAAACTAAGGGGAGTAAAGGGTGAAGTAATGCTAATACACTGGGCATTTAGTTCTTTTAAGATACCGAGACAATTGAGTTCAGCTGAAAAACACTGCAGAGTTTCTGCCACAAATTATTTGGAGGAGTCAAAGGGGAAATCTGACAGAGCTTACAACAGTGGAGAGACAAGAGACAAACAGTTATATTGCTAAACCATTAATTAAGAAAAAAATATACTCGAGAATAAGGTGGTTCCAACTGCAGAGTTTCAACAGATAAGGAATAAAAGTTACTGTAATTTAATAAAATGGCTTTCAGTTTACATATTAGAGGAGAAACATGGGTCCAAGGCAAGGATTATTGTTGGAACAACACAGGCCTCCAGGAATTTTCTCCAGTTATTGATTAAACAGGACAACTGCAGAAACCTCACTGAGAACCTGGGCAACAGGAGAATATCTGTGTTGAGCGACAAAGCTGTAATATTATGTCAGTGTCACTTATGTGTCTGGGCTTAGCTGTAGGATTCTGCTAGACAGTATCATGATACTGCCCTTGTACCAAATAGCGCACAGCAGAATATCTGTTACAGCAAAGCTGTAAGTCAGTGCACGAAGGCTTCTTTTCTTTTTCAATTTAGTGCGATGTAATTTTAGCATGTTTCAAGTCCTATGTTAAAAATAAAGCCATGTTTTGATTACAAGAGGAATACTCCTTTCCCATTGTAGATGCTTTACAAAATACACAAAAACATGAGAATAAGTTATCCATAGGCTATTAACATTTAGGTGTTTCCTTCCATGATTGTTTTGTGATGATCATACCGTAAGTATAATTTTCACCTCGATTTTTTTCACTTAATATTAAAGCCAAAGAATTTTTCTATATGCACAACCCCAAGTAGACACTGTAAGCAGCTTCACGTAAGACTGCTTCAGAGAAGTATTTCACAAGTTGTTGACCATTATTTCCCTTATTGTTGGAAATACAGTTTGTGCTTCTTTTCTGCATACTGAACATTCCTCATTCTTTAAAAAAAAATCCTATTATCCTACCATTTCCATTTTCATTGTCATTTTGAGTGGGCACAATATGAAAAATCCCAAAGAATATCGCAAGAATGCAGGTGATTCCCAGGAAGTCCTGTAGCCGCAGTCTGTCTCCATGTTCTGCAGGAAACGTCAATCCACTTACTGCCGGCTGGACCAGGCCCTCTGGGAAAATCACAAATCCACAT